GAAACTTTTATTGTTGAGAAAGATTTGTTCTTAATGAATATAAATTCCGAACTAATGACTTTCCAAGGGCCGCGAGGCAGTAGTAATATTGATTTAACATTATCTAATACAAAACTGATTAGACATAATATTGTAAAAAATTGGACAATTTCTAGAGAAACAAATTTTTCGGACCACAACATTTTGACTTATGAGTTACATTTACAGGGAAATGATAAAACTGGAGTGCTAGCAAAAAACTATATATATTTGACAGAGAATGGTGACTGGAATAAATTCTTGGCTAACTTAATACATCAGTTAGAAAAACAGTTTTTATCTCAACATTGTACTGATAAGAAGGAATTGACAGTTTATGATACCGAAAAGCTGATTCTTAATGAGTTTTCTCTTATGCCTACTGATATTATCATAAATAAAATGATAAAATCTATCGTAAAATCTTGCAATATAGCATTCAAAAGATCCGGCCATTTCAAAGGTCGAACTAGAAAAAGATCAGTACCTTGGTGGAACCCTGAACTAACTGGCTTGCGTAAAGAGACAAATCATCTAAGAAGAAATTACCAGCGGACAAAAGACGATGGACTAAGGGAATCAAGGAGAGTGATCTATCTCAAAAGTAGGCAAGCATATCAAAAGCTAATTAAAAGTTCCAAATTAAAGTCCTGGAAGACATTTGCTACTGCATCAAAGGCGTGGCAATGGCCATATAAGTTTGTATCCAATAAAATAAAACCTCAAACCTTACTCACTACCACTTTGAATGAACTAGGAACATACACAACAGACACTAAGAATACATTATCTCATATATTAAATAAGATAATCAAAGATGACAATACAAGTGATGACACTAACGAACACAGACAAATGAGAACAGAAATACTTATCCCGCCTAATAATGACGATGACACTAATATCCGGGATTTTGAAATATTACAAGTTATTAATAAATTGGATGACAAGAAAGCACCAGGAATAGACAAAATTGACCCAAGAATGATAAAAAAGATAGCTGACTCCTTTCCAAAATTGATAACTGGACTTTATAAAACCTTATTCAAAAGAAATGAATTTCCTAAAAGCTGGAAGGTGGGTAAATTAACATTGATTCCTAAGGCTAATTCATTTTCACTGAGACCACTAAGTATGCTTCCTGTAATGAGTAGAATTTTTGAAAAAATAATAAAAAATAGATTAATGCATCATCTACTTAGTAACAATATACTCCACCGACACCAATTTGGATTCAGACCCCAATCAGGAACTGACGATGCACTCAGTGAATTGAACGACCATATCACCAGTACACTCCGGCAAAATAGTAATTTATTGGTTGTTTCTTTGGATATCGCGGGTGCCTTTGACAACGCCTGGTGGCCTGCGATTTTAAATAATCTAAAGAAATATAAATGTCCAAAAAACATATACAAAATCATTCAAAATTATTTTTCTGTCAGAAAAACTTGCAATCCAAACAAACTTTCATTATATTGACAAGAAATTGACGCTAGGAACTCCTCAAGGATCAGCACTATCACCTATACTATGGAACATCTTAATCAATACTGTTTTCGAAATAGACCTACAGGAAAATTCAACATTATTAGCATACGCAGACGATTTATTATTACTTATAAAACGAAGAGATTTCGATGAATTACAGACAATAGCAAACATAACATTATCAAGGCTGAGACGATGGACTAGACGCAACAAACTTAAATTTAATCTAGACAAGACAAAATATATAATCTTCACAAAAAAGAGAATTGTACCAGAATTGGATATTCGACTCAATACAGTAAGAATAACGCAATGTGATACATTATCATATTTAGGGCTTCTCTTTGACAGAAAACTGAATTGGAACAGACATATAGATAATCTATATGACAACACTTTAAGGATTATAAATGGACTATCAGTGGCTGCAAGAGCGACATGGGGACTCAGATCGGAAGTGTTGAAGGAAATTTATGAAGCTGCTGTACTTCCAAAGATGCTCTACGCTGTGCATGTCTGGCATCCGGCCGTTGAACGTAAGAAAAATTTGGTGAAGTTGGAAAGGCTTCAGAGGTTAATTGCGATTAAGATATGCAAGGGCTATCGTACACTATCATTCGAGGCCACAATATTATTGGCAGGGCTGTTGCCAATCCAAATGAAGATTGAAGAACGAACGACCTTATATAACATTAGAAAAGGAAAGAGAGGATACAAAGACCTGACCCTAGACAAAATAGAAAGAATTACTGACTGTAAATCTTGGTTACACCCTGCAACAAGTTTGTGGACTGGACCGGGAATTACTTCTGAAAATACTGATGTTTTCACTGATGGTAGTAAGGACGGCGAGAATGTTGGATGTGCATGGTTGTTCAGAGCTCAAGATGGTAGGAATATAGAACATCAATATAAATTAGAATCATATTGCTCAAATAATCAGGCAGAAAAATTCGCTGTTTTAAAGGTTACTGAATACATATATGAATACCCTCTACAAACGAATACTCACGTTACTATAAATACAGACAACAAAGTTCTGCTAGACTCTGTTAATAATTGGGACATTCATGATTACTTGACTGACCAAATTAGAAACAAATTGTTAATGATGAGAACTGTAGGGAAAGTAGTGACTCTAAAATGGGTAAAAGCACATTGTGGGATTGAGGGCAATGAACGAGCCGATTGCCTTGCAAAAGAAGCAGCTAAAAGCGATTTGCCGCCATCGTATCATCAAGCTCCTTTATCGTATATTAATATGAATTTAAAGTTGGATTTCATCAAAAGATGGGATCACATATGGGTGACCTCAGCTAAGTCACCAAGCTTACACAGATTTATACCACACATTTCAATTCACAATTACAGACACATTCACAGTAATGACTACAAACTTACGCAAGTACTTACGGAACATGGGAATACAAAACAATATCTTAAAAGATTCAACATTATACAAACAGACTTATGCGATGAAGACGGACAGGTTCAAAATTTTAAACATATAATATATGAATGTAAACGATTTGACAGACAGCGATTTGAGTTAATAAAAAGCATAATTATCAAAAGAGGAAATTGGCCTGAGACGGAACAAAAGTTATTTACTGAATTCAAGACAGACTTTCTTAGATTTATTAGATCGATCGACTTCGACTTACTAACCAGGGATGGGCAGCGTGGGTGATTTCTTTTTGGCTTTGTTGGATTGACTTTGTGTGTTTAATATTTAATTTTCCGATTTAATTTTTTGTGTGTTTATTCTTTGTGTTTTTTTTTTGTTAATGTATATAAATTTGAACTAAAAATGTAAATCATGTGAAACTAGAAAAAAAAAAACAATTGTAAACAAATGTAATTCATGTAGTATGTCTTTAAGGCATGGAGCATGAAGGAAAATCAAATAAACGATCCTTGTGTGGGGTTACCACGTAGGGAAAAAAAAAAAAAAAAAAAAAAAAAAAAATGTATATATATATATATATATATATATATATATGTGTATATATATATATGTGCGTGTTTTTATATATGTGTATATTTTTTTTGTTCATTTCTTAGTGGTTATATACTACTTTTTAAATAATGTATATTATGTTAGAATTTTTATACGTTAGTTTTTGGCCAGATTGGTATTTTATTTTATATTAATTCATCTTTGTTATTCTAAGGGGACTTTCTAAGGAGTCCCAGAATAAAGTTCTATTTTCTATTCTATTCTATTCTATTCAATATAACAAACGCTTGAGGATATTGGATCAGTGAAAAAATTAAGGACAAAAATACAACAACAAAACTCATGTGTTGGAAGAAAGTAATTTACGCCTTTATGTTAGAAAATATTTCAATAATAGCAAATACAAAGAGTCTTGAATATGTTGGATTTTTATGAAATAACATAATTTTTATTTGAAATAAAACGAAGCATTGGAGAATGTTAAGTTATCAAAATAATTCATGTGTCCGCAGATCACAAACCTACATAATGCGATGCATTACATTAATGTGCGTTTTATATTGAGGGAATGTAAAGATTATGTTGCTTTTTGTGCATTATATGATGATATTTTAATTTTATAGACAGACTTCAGCTTTATTAATTAAACACACACGATACTACAGATTAGTAGATATTCAACGGTAGCTTAACATGAATGGGATTATGAAAGGAATGTATTCATCGCCCACCAATGAATGAAATGATACCTCCCTCCTCTCACCCTTCATACTGTTCTTACGATCGTGACGGGACCATTAGTTTCCTCGGCGGACATGACGAATACAGTGCTCGAGGTCACCGAACCACGATGGAAGAGACAAAAGAAGTTGAGAACCGGAAGTCGTCACCGGAGGTAAATGGAAAACGCAACTGTCTGCACATGGTTGATGACTAGGCAATCCTCAAAACAAGTACTTTTTCACAGCCAGTGATTTGGAACTAAAGTGGAGGCAATTCAATTCTTGTATTGTGTTTGCGAAAATCAGTGTTCCGATCAGCAATTAAGTTAGCTGTAAATTGCTAATGTTAATATTATTGTTCAAGCAGCACCAGCTATCAAGTCGTATATTGTAAAGGGATAATACCTATTTTGACTATTTAGTAAAATTATTATTTAAAGAAACATTTTAAAAAACATCACTAAAAAGAGGATTTCATCACAAACAAACAAAAAACACCTTATTACTTTAAAAAGTACTCAAAATTTTAATGAGTTTTTACTAAAAATATTCTCATGTGCTTGGTCTACCAAGAAAAAGTAAATCTAAATTTTCATGACTATTATTGCATGTGAATAATATTTTAACTCCCAAAAGAACATTCTTGAACATTTTTGTTCCATTTATAGATGAAAAGTATTCGTTCATGAACTTATTTCAATAGAGCCAACGCAATGTCTTAAATTATTTATTATGGTATATAATTAAATATGGTATTGTGCTTATTCGGATAATTGTCAAACAGAATTAGAAATAGTTGAAGTACTTACTGCAGTCACATTTCCTAATCTCTGGCGGTTGCGTCGATGCTCTTTGGAATATTGGAAAAAGGCCCTTTTGTTCTTTACTATCGCCCACTCCTAACTGCAAAAAATAAAAATAGTTAAAATAAATTATAACTATAAATAAATTGATAATATAGTAGAATCCTATAATAATTATGTGTAATTATGCCAATACAAATTTTCCTTTTTTAAAATTATAAATTTGTTATGTCTCTTAACTTTCAGTAACAAAAAGCTTTAATGATCCAGGATATTAGGTATCGATTATTAAATCGACTTATTTATCTGCACATTACACTCCAACGAAGATAAATCTTATACAATCCTTTCATTAATTTGTCCGACTACTACACCTAGGATGTTTCAGGTATTTGGCCGGTAAGGGAAAACTCAAAGGCTAAATCAATTCATTTTTTTTCAATTCAATTATCCAATAAAAACAGTGAAACATGTATATTTTGCAAACTGAAAATGTTCTAGAGAACTCCACAACCTCCAAAAGATATCAATAAAACAGTTTATCTATTTTTTGGAATAAAAAAAAAATGTATATATATATATATATATATATATATATATATATATATGTATAGTTGATGTAGCGAGTTTTTCCTTACTCGTCCCACTGTGCGCCGCTTAGTAGTACGAAACGCTAAAATCGAGTTCAAAATAATTTTTACGCATTTCTCGAAAATGCATATGTCCTCTTGAAAAGAAACAGCTAACAATGCCGCATGCACAAGAAATAATCAAAAATGTTCCTTCTTAAATAGTAGAAAAATATACTGTTTCGTTTAAGATAGCCAAAAAGCCTAATAGACGATAGAGTTTTTTTGTTGAAAACGGATGAGACATGGATCATCGTTTACAAAATTAATGTTATTGTGGTAATATATTTCTATTTTTGTTTAATACACTTGTTAATTTTAAAATGTTTTACATTTTATGATTATTTTATATAATTTTAATAATATTACTTAATGTATTTAATTATTGGATCATAATTATATAATTAAAACAGTATACAATAATGAAAAATGTCGATATTTTAACAATTATAGACACAAAAATGGAAATATAAATATTTTCCGTATGAAATAATGTGTTATTCAAAACATATATTATTAACTATAAAATTTAACTTCGGAGCAATTTATTGCAGTAATATTTTTATTTTTTAAATTTATTTTTCCTGTTTAAGCATATTATAAATGACTGATATCACATTTACACTAAAAAATCGTTATTAAAAATATATATATATTTATATTTTTTTATTAGTGATGATATTTACAACTGTATTACAAGTAAAAATACATTCAGTAAATATGAACAAAAGAATATAATAGCATGAAATCACTTGTTGAGAAACTACCCACTGGTAGCACTCTAAAAATGTATTTACATAAGGAGATCTCGAGGCCATCTTCTTTTCAGACACCTCGGAGGGATGGAAAAGGAAGCAAGGCTAGAAACGAGAGGGTTAGGATGGTTCTTAAGTTTGTTATGGAAGGATAGGTATAAAAAATATAAAAATTATAATGGCAAATTAGTTTTTTCTAGATTTTTAAATATTTTTTAACTTGTTATTTTTTTAATTCACATTTGTCATAATAGTAACGACAATCAGTGAATTAGATGATCGTGGCAAAATATAATATAAGGAGGAGCAGTACCCATCAGCTCCTCCTACCGTGATATTTGCATTAGGCGAGGAGGTCCCTCATCCAGCTCCTTTTCAGTCTTCTAATGACTTAATTAATTCATGTATGTTTCATGAACAAAAAATTGAAGCAAGTAAGGATGTAGCAGTAAACAATGTTTTTTTTTTTTTAAACAACGGAGATTTTAGTGTCGGAAATGTTTTTACTATGTGAATCACGGAGATGGTTCATCGAGATAAAATTGATAAAAAATTCTTTTTATCAAGAAACGTGATAACGAAACGGAGCCTGAGATTTTTTATTCCCTAATTGTGGGAATAAAAAAAGATCAAGATTCGTTTCTCTGGAGTTTATCAGACCCAGGTTAGACGGTTAACTTAATACATAAGGTTTAAGTCATCTTTTTATTTATGAAAATGTACGACGGTTGAAGGATTTAGTTTGAATTTAACATAAATTTATTTTTTGGAAATTAATAATTCTAGATTTTCAATTAAAAAAAAAACAAATCAAACAGCACACACACACTCAAAATATTAAATGCATAAAATCAAATCAACAGCTTAGTGAATATATTGAAGTACAAATATCTGTACTGCAAATAACTATATCAGATTTCATTAGTATAATAATTTTCAATTGACTAATATAACTAATTATCATAGATAAATTGTATTTTGATAGTAAAAATAACAATACATTTTAAATATTTTAATTTTATATTTATATTGTACATCAATGTATGGTCATCCGTTTTCACTTTGTATTCATTTTACTTTTTAACCATGTTGCAATATTATCTAATATTTAAATGTAATTTTCTTACATATTTAGAACCAAAAATAATTATAATTATTCATTTTTGCCCCTCTCTATACTTCTATGTTAATTCGGTAATGTATGGTCTCTTATTTCTATATTTATATTTTACTTCTATGTACGTTTTGCTACTTCCATTTTTGTTTTATTCACATTGTAGTCTTATCTATAATCTTTTAATTCTATTTTATATGTATATTTATATATTTATAATTTAATATTTCACAGATATAGTATTTTTTCTCTTGTATCCATCCATATCTTCAAATTTTAGATACTGTAATTTTCTAGATTTTTCCCCATTACCCAAACAAGTCAGCGAATTCCCGAATACCTGCCCTTACCCTGGTTTTCCAGTTTTAAGTGAATTTCCTAGCTGAACACACCTATAAGTCTTTAATTTTATTCTTCTAATTTTAGTTACTTATTTTTTTCTTTTCTTTGTCCACATTCCTTTTGTCTATTATTTCATATTATATCGTTTTTATTTTTCTTTCAATCTCTTGTAGATTCAATCTCTTGTAGTTCAATCTCTCTCCTGTTGATCTGTAGAAATATATTCACATTTGCATATATTATATATTACACTACAATTGTTACCATCTATTCATTTCAGTTTAGGATCTTGTTACTTTTAGCTTACTCTGTTTATATTTGAATGTACTTACTGTTTATAATTTTAATAAGCTTATTCACATTGTGTAAAAACTTTTGTCTAAATATTATGTAACTTCCACAATTATCAATCTTTTTGTATCTCGTCCGTTCTAGCCCTGAAAAAGACCTGCAAAGTCGGGTCGAAACGTTGGCTTTTAATAAAATAGTTTTACCACTATTTAGCCTATTTATGACCGCCATCCCGGACCATCTCCTTCCTTTATAATGTAACGGTCAACTATTGTATATTCAATAAAAATAATAAACTTCGAATTTCCAAAAACCTTTCGTGAGTGTTCGCTCTATGCTCGTGTTGAGATGTTCTAATTATAATGCGTGGAAAAACCTATGGTTCGATTTCGAATAAACCAAAATTCTTAAACTAGTTTAAGGAGATCTTGATACCTTATTAATCTTGATTTAATCAGATTAATTCTAAGAAATTTATCAGACGAGGATATACTGCAAGCGGCCTGGCTTTTGATAATGGATGCTGTAACATGTTCCAAGAGTGGTCGTCACAGGCCGGTACCGGTTCTAGATAACTCGAGACAAATCACCTTCTTATTTTAGAACAGGCTGGGACATTACCATAATCGCTAGTTCGATGACCTTCGGGATGTGCTTTTGCAGTCTTTACTAATAGTCCAGCTTCCGATCAGGCAACCGAAAATTTATTGAATGCCTAAATTATAACAAGTTAAACAAGATATAAAAGAAAGCCAAACCTGTCTGTTGTATTCTATAATACAACACCGTCATGATTGCAGCCTACAGCCTCAAACTTTGAAGGGCATATTGAAACTATTCAATCGTTTTCATGCAAAGTCCTTCAAGTTATTAGATAGATAGAAGCGTTTATTTGTTTATAAAGTACATAATATCATATTTTTCTTACATATAATTAAACGATTTATCGACAATGAACTTATGTTCGTCTGTCTGGGTGTTCACCTAGTTTATTCGTGGAGATGTCTTATCTTTTTAAAATTCACAGTTTCAATATAACAAGATCCTAATTGCAATATTATCTAATTAATAAAAAAACACCTTAATTTTAAATATAAAAATATAAATATACCTATATAATGTACAAATATACATGAACATAAACTTAGATACATTTTATTCTAAATTATAATCTCTCATTAATTCACATCTATAATTAGTGGATGTTCTTAAATACAGATAAAGATTATGTAGTATGTAGATTATGTAGTCTACAGATACGTAGTTTGGATCATTTAAAATCCGTATCGTTTCCATAGAATTTAGCTGATGCATACCTAAAAATGCTCTGCTGAACTCTTTTAGTATTGGGCATACCGATATAAAATGAAAGTTATCTTCCGGTGCATTCATATTGCACATAGAACTATTTCCCCTTTTATCCTGCCATGGCTGGTAATTTAGATTGAAGAGTTCTCCTTTCGTTTTAAAAATTAGCCGAATGAAATATATATTGTAACCATTCTGTCGAAAATACCCACAATCATATTCTAATTTGGAATACATTTTACGATATCCTGCTGATCTTGCCCTCTTAATATAATCATTCATTTTCTCTTGCTTTAGTTTTTCAAGTAAAATGTCTTTATGTATTTCCAACTTCTTTAGCAGATCTTTTTTGGTGAAAGAAATGTCACAGTTTGTTTCTATCCTTCTCAGTGCCCTCATCCATGTTATGTTCTTAAAGTTATTATACAACTGAAACTATATATTATCAACTCAATTTACGTTTTTTCTTCATCGATTATGTTGCACTTTTTTCCGAATTCAAGAAAATTTCTCCAATCATTCTAATACTCTCGCTCCAGTACCATTCAGTTTCATTTATACACTCATAATTTTCACAAAGATCAAAACGGCTATGGATCCAGAAATTTTGCAAAATATGTCTTCCGGAGTATTATAAGGGACTAATATCTAAATTCCTGAC